TCTCCCTCTAACCCCTCCGCCTCTAAGGCACCCAAGTAAAACCAGCCTCCTGATAACCTTTAATTAGCTGTCCTCCTTTGAATGTGCGACCCACAGGTTCATGACACGGTGCTCAACTAGCACATGCATATTAGAATCACAATCAAGGTCAAGTGCCCCAACTCTAATAGGAAGAAAACCCAAACACACACCAAATCCAGATTCTGTCCCCAGATACTACTCTCTGACCTTTGTTTCCAGACTTATAAAGTGAGGGTCCAGCTTACCTCATGGAATTATGTACTAATGAATAAGCCAAGTCCGATGAAGATTCACTGTCCCCTCCAGTTGCCATCGAGTCAAACTGATGTGTCACCATAGCTCCTGGTCACCCCATGTGTGCAGAGCAGAATACCTTTCTGTCAGGGCACCTCTGACTCAGACTACTAGACTTGCACTTAGTGGCTGAAAACTTATTTTCATAAAAATCGTGGGCATTTTAATAAATGCTCTTTCAGTCTATCCTTTACCTCTTCCTGCTGCTAATAAGCCCTGCAGATAGGTCATGCAAGGGCTTAGCTACACAAGTGTAAGGAATTGACCATAATTCCAGTTATTTTGAGATGAAAGATGTCTTTGACTAGTTACATATGTCACTTTTATGCCCCGCGCTTACAGGCAGCCTCTCCCCTTTGCAGGACCTTCATCCAACAGTTTATTTTGCTGCATTTTCCATCCACTCTCCAAACAGTGTATATCCTAGTGACCCTGTCAGGAGAGAATCTCTTCAGCCTCTTAGGTTCCCTGGTTTATTACCCAATTCAATTGACTTCTGGTCATAGCTGAGCTCTGGTGGCCTAGTGGTAAGAAACTGCTACAATCCCAAAGACACGTCGTTTGAATCCTCCATCCGCGCCACAGGAGAAAGTTGGGCAGTCTCCTCATGTAAGATTAACTGCCTCAGAAAACCCGCTGGAGGGTCAGCTATGGGTCAGTTCTGACTAGAAGGCATATAACAATAACAGCAACCAACAAGTGATAGCTATATATGATGACTTTATTGGTTTAAAGGGTGTTTTTACCTTCTCTCCTCCACAGTCCTGTTGGCCAAATAGATTTTTTTAAAAAAAAGTTTAAAACACCTTTCTGTGGTCACTGTCTCTATAACCTGCCTTTCACATGCCAATTTTTTCTCTTTTCCAAAAAGTAGGCCTATAGGTAGGCAGAAGTTAGGAACATAAGATCATCTGTCTTTCTGTATGTCCATTTCCTGGCATTGTTTTCACAGCCCCCAAAGACACGACTTAGAATCTTATGATAGTATCATTTGTTTTCGTTTTTGTAATTCAGGATACGTTGCATTTGGTGACGATGACCGATCTTGACAGGCTTTCTATGATAAAGTTCAAGGCATCTCACCACGTGCTCTCTGAATGGCCGTGTCGAGATAGTGAGGTGGTCTGTAGTGACATTCTCAGTAGTCACCAACCACCACAAATGCTTTCTTCCAAGTCCAGCAAAAGATCCCATTACTGGTCAGTGCCTGTAGATTTCCTGGGTGCCTCCACAGTCCACGCCCAGCACTCGTTCTTAGACATTCATCTCCTGTAGCCTGAATTTGGAACATGCAGCTACAATTTTAAGTTTATGGGTTTACAGTCAGTGCCAATCTTAATTGGGTATCCTAGAAACCTAATAATAACTTGTGTCATGACAAAATACTTCAGCAACCTAATTGTTATGGTAAAGCGGGAGAACAGTTGGTGGAGGGGATATTATTTTCTACTTGATTGTATTTTATACATGTGTATTTATATATAATTTAGACCCTGAATTAAAGGAATTTCCGTCAACAATTTGGTAGTGCATACTTCTATAAACTTAGTAGCATTTCCACAATTCACGTGACTTTAAACAGAAAAAAAATTATTTGAGAATACAAGCAGTTTCCCAGATTATGAATGCTCGTGGAAGCAGGAAATTTTGTTTCTCTTGCTCACTTGTTTTGGTATATATTTGTACTATATGGGTTGAGGCTCAATGTCAAGAAGACAAAGATTCTCACCACTGG